CCTGTCGAGCTCCCAGTCTCCCCTTGGCTACTTCCTACTTTGATCCCTACTCTCAATGAAAATGCATTCAGCCCTCGAGTGAACTATATTTTCTCTTATCTCTGAGTTTTTGTTCATGGTGTCTCCTTTGCCTGGAGCAAATCCCCTCCTTGCCACCTCTCTGGCTTACTTATCCTTATCCTTTAGGCTTGGGTACCCCCTTTTCAAGGTAGCATTTCAGGACCCCCTCCAAGTGTGCCTCATGATCCAACAACGAGTTCAGAGAACCTCCATCCTTCCTCTATCAAGACTGAAGTCACCAGACTGCTTCTCTATAATTTCCACTGTGCAATAAGTTCCTTGAGCACAGGGAGCCTCTCTGTCTTTAGTTGCATGTCCTGTGCCTGGCACATAGTAGATATTCAATAAATATTTGTTGAGTGAATAAACAGGGGTCCCCCAAGCACACTCCATTGGTAAGAAACACCACCCAAGCAGAAAGAGAGACAATAGGAATTTTTAATGCATGGAAAGTCCTGCAGAGACTCTGCACAGACCCACAGGTAGCAGGAAGAGGCAGGGGTCCTGCAATCGCAATAACGACTGGAAAAAAAATTAAGAAAAAGAGAGAGAAGTCCTTAAAGACCCAAGCTTCCTCGCTGCAGCAATCCTCGGGTCTTCCTTCCTGATGCTGAAGGGGTCAAACTGTCTCTCCAGAGGTCTCCTCCAGGGGTCCATGGCAGGAAGGAAGCTGAGTGCAGCAGGAGGCACAAAGAACAGGAAAGGCCGCTTGGTCTCCACCCAAAAGCTCCTGCCTTGGGATTGACTGCCATCCATAAGAAAAGGTTTTAAAAGGAGAGACTTTTGATAGAGTCAAATAATATCTTAGAAAAAATAAAAGATAGAGAAAAATGAATAATTCCATTGGTTACAAAGTTCTCTTTCTGCTATGCACAGGAGAAACAGTTTGCTTTGGCCCTGCTGGCAAGCTCCATCTGCCAGGCCCATCCTCAGCTGTCCCCCAGCCCCCCAGGCCCCAGGATCCATAAGAGTACTGCTCCTTCTCCCCTGGAGAGTCCCTGCACTCATGGAGGGCAGTACTCTCTCTCACCGGCCCTTGGACTCTCCGTACATGTTTCGGGCCATGGACACCATCTTCTCCTCGCACGTGATTTTGGTGTCCTTGAGGATGCTGTACCACACCATGCCTGCAGGTCGGACCTCTTCGCTGCGGCAGAAAAGGTAGGGCACGGTGTCCACGCGGCTCTGGATGTAGGCGCTTCGCAGGAGGCTAGAGCAGTGGCTG